CCCTGCCCGCTGGCACGGGGGCTGATCCGGGCAGGAATGAGGAACAGCCCGTGCCAGGGGAGGCCGCAGGGTTATTTACAGCCCCAAAATGAAGGCTGGAATGCAGGAAGGCTCCGGGAGGTTCCAGCTGCCCCCGTGGTGCCCTTTGGGGCCCTGCAGCTCTCGGGGCTGGGGTTTTGGGGTTGGTTTTGGGGTTTGTCTCTGAGGGGATTGTTGGGGCACAATTCCCCAGCACAATTCCTGCTCAGGGCCTTTCCAGCCTGCCCCAGCCCTTGGGGACATCTCCAGAGTCACCCTCTTTCTGGGACCGTGTCACCCACATGTGGCTGTGGGGTCAGCCCTGTCACAGCCCCTCTTCTTCACTGGGAGCTTGGGCACATCCCCACATTGAAGGATTTGTGAGGTGAGACCCTGAACCTAACCCTAACCCTAATCCTAACCCTGGTTTGGGGAGCAGGGCACGTTCTGGTGGTCAGAGCCAAGCCCACCAACCCGAATTCCTGCCTGGAGCACCACAAGGACCTGCAGAGGAATTGTCACCACCCCAAAAAATCCTGAGCACCTGGCAGGGGCTGTGTGTCCTCACCTGGGACTGGCCCGTGCTCTCTGGACAGCCCTCAGGTCACCTTGAGCAAGGGCTCTTATCTTATTTGTAAAATAGGTGTAAGATATCTGCCTCCAAATGCGCTCAGCAAGGTCTGCCCGAGGCCTGGGGACACCAGCAGTTCCTGGGGCTGGGTGGGAGTGCCCAGAATTCCTGCCCTGAGGGTCTGGGGGAGCCCCCAGGCCAAGGGGGGGCCATGTGGAGCCTCCCATCCCATCCCAATCTCCTGGAATTGGGGCTGGGGGCTGCTCCAGGCACTGCCTCCCCCACCCCTCAAGGCTTTCTGCCCACCCAACCCAGCAGAGCCAACCCCAAGGAGGCTTTTTCACTTAAAGCATTGAATTCCTCTGAAGGGAGGTTCCTCAATCTGAAAAAAAGCAAAAAACAAAAAGAGAAAGAGGAATTTTCCCTCAAAAAAAAAAAGAAGTGGGAAGGTGTGTGGAGGAGAACGTGTGGCTTTCCTCAGGGGGAAAGTGATTGTGGTCCCATCACTGCTGCCCTGTGCCCTTGGGCAACTCATTAAGGCCCAAAGGCTTCGATGGGAGGGAGATAAGGCCTGAAATGAAGCTGAAATTGTTCAGGGCTCTGAGGTCAATGCCTGCAGAGGAGCTCAGGTGTTGGACGTGAGGAGCTGGAGCAGGAGCAGGAGGAGACCCTGTCGCCCCTGGTCAGAGATCAGCAGGCAGATTTCAGATGAAAGCTCTGCCTGCTTTGCCTTTTTGAGGAGTTTTAGGAGTGCCATGAGGCCAGGGAGTAGCTGAGCCCTGAAAGTGTGGGTGGTTAAAGGGCATTAAAGTTAAATAAAGCATTTGGAACCTGGTGGGAGAGGGATTCACTGCCCTGAGCCTCACCCAGGGCCTGAGGGGAGCTCTGCTGCTGCCCTGGTGACACCAAAATGGGCCAGAATAATCATTCCAACACAGTTTGAAGTATTTAATCTTTGAACTCCATTCAGCAACTTCGGGAAAACTGAAATTTTCTATTCTCTGTGCTGTTTATCACGGATGGCCTCTCCACAGGGCCCAGCACCTCTGGGGGGCTCTGCCAGGGAGGGCTGGGACAGGGGGGCAGCCCCGTGCCAGGTTGGCAGGGCCCAATCCTGATCCTGGTCCTGACCTTGATCCTGACGCTGATCCTGGTCCCAATCCCGATCCTGATCTTGGTCCTGATCCTGATCCTGACTCTGATCCCAGTCCTGATCCTGATCTTCACCCTGATCCTGATCCCAATCCCAGTCCTGACCCTGATCCTGCTGCTGGTTCTGACCATGACCTTGATCCTGGTCCTGGTCCTGGTCCTGATCCCAATCCTAATCCTGATTCTAATCCTGATCCTGATCCTAATCCTGATCCTGGTCCTGATCCCGATCCTGATCCCAATCCCAATCCTGACCCTGATCCTGCTGCTGGCTCTGACCGTGACCTTGATCCTGATCCTGATCCCAATCCTAATCCTGATCCCAATCCTAATCCTGATCCCAATCCCAATCCCAATCCTGCCCCAGACCCTGATCCTGCTGCTGGCTCTGACCCTGACC